TGTGCTGAATATCTGCTACGCTGAGCTGAACCTGCATGGTAATGGCTTCTCTGTAACGCTCCGATAACAAAACATATACCTCTCTCTGTTTCTCCTTCAAACTCTTCCAATCAATCCTCGCACCTTTAGCCGTCGCTCACGCTCTCTCCTCTAAATCTTCACCCTCTCCATCACTCCTTCGCTAACGTGTGTAGACATACGTTGTAATAGAGGCGTGTTAATAATTCATGTCAGAGCAATTGGAGACAATTAAGTGTGTTGACTGGGCCATTCATTTTCCAGCCAGAGTCAGAGTTGATGTAGAGAGTGTCAGAGTGCCGATCATCTCCACCAAAGATCTCTTCAAAAACTCAACTGTTTCTCACAGACACCAATGACATTAAATGAAGAACAAATGGAGACCTTGTAAGTGCTCTTACTGTTCTCCTTAAAGGGATAGTTCGTCTAAAAATGAAAATTCTGTCATAATTTACTCACCCTCATGTTGCTCAAAACTTGTATGAATGTCTTTCTTTTGTCAAACACAAATATATATTTTGAAGGATTTTGTTAACCAAACAGTTGCTGGTAGCCACGGACTTCCATAGTATGAAAAAAATAAAAATAAAAATACTATGGAAGTAAACGGGGACCAGAAACTGATTTGTTTACCAACATTTCAAAATATCATATTTTGAACAACTTGAGGGAGAGAAAATGACAGAATTTTCATTCTTGAGTGAACTATCCCTTTAAAAAAGGCAATAATCTCATGTGTCCTCAAACTTTAGAAACAATCTAAACCATGTTTCTTTTGTCTACAATTAAAAGTCAGTGATCTCTATGAATATTGAGAAATAATTCTTCATTAATTCTTCATTCTTTTGATGTTTTATGTTTTATATATTATATTCATCTGTTTACACTTCTAAAGTTCAAATAAATATATTAAATATTCTCTTACACATTATAAAATGAATGTATTAAAATGCTAAACTATGTTTGAATTGTCTTTATATGTAAAAAAAGAAAAATGACTTAATTGTGCATTAATTTGCCAATTTAATTAAGTACTATATGTATACCTGTTTTTAAACAGTAGGTAAATATATAAAATATTTTTTTTTTCATCAGTTTAAAAATATTTTTTCACCAGTTTACATTTTTAAACAGTTCAAATTGCTATATAAAATATGAAATAAAAACGCGCACACACACACACACACACACACACACACACACACAAGTTCCAAACTCTACACTAGCAACTAGGAAGCAGCAGGCAGAAAGAAATAAGAATATTTCACACTTTTAAGAGCCATGCAAAATAAATATCTAATTGGTAAAAAATGTCCTATGAAATAATGAAGCATAAAGGCTTTTATAAAATAGGTGCAACAGCAATATTATAAAAGACAGCAATGACGTAATAATCACTTTAATGTAGCTTGCGCCAACAGTTGTACACGGAAGCAGCTCCGGGCGGATGGCATGAGGTTAGCTTTGCGCAAAAGAGCAGCAGGCAGACGGCTAGTGCGACACATGCTTAGATGCTAGTGCTGCTGCTACAAATGTGTCAAAAGTAGACCGCTGTAATACCTATAAAGAGCCATTCAGCATTCACACTCATCAGAGTAATCTTCCTCTGCCATCTCTGCTCTATGACTGAATCACCTGAGCACTAAATGCCACGTGACTAATCACCCTAGAGCCGCAGGAAATGACATCATGACAACACTGATCGGCTGATGGCAGCACACACACACACACACACACACACACACACACACAGGTTTGTTTTTGTGAAAAGTGGGGACATCCCATAGGCGTAATGGTTTTTATACTGTACAGACCGTATATTCTATTGCCCTACCCCTAAACCTACCCCTCACAGGAAACTTTGTGCTATGTAATAATAAATAACTATAAATATAAAATAATTTCCGAAGTAGACATATTTAAAAAAATTTATTATTATTATTAAACTTTTTATATACTATTTAGTTAAATGCAATAACAGAACATATATATTTTTTAATGCAGCTGAATTAAAAAATAAAACTGTGTGTGTGTGTGTGTATAATTTTATTATATATATCATTATAATAAGTGTTATAATTTATAAATCATATATTAAAAAAAATATGAGTAGATGTAAAAATCTGAACTATAATAAATTACAATAAAATATAATAAAAGAGATGCAACAGCAATATTATAAAAGACTCCAACGTTCAATAAATAATAAAACGTATTAAAACAATATTTATTTCATGTTATGTCATGGTTAAAAATACAGGTTTAGAAAAAAATTTTTATATAAAAAAAAATATAATTTTAATAAACACATGCTATAATGGAATGTGCAACAGCAATAATAAGATTAAATGAATATAATTATAATTTAATATAAATATAATAATAAATATACATATAATTTTTTTTATAAAATGTTATATTACAGCTTCAAAATATGTCTCATCCCATAATAATTGACAGTCGGTCAGTTTGACTGTACTAACTGTTTTGTTTTTGTTTTTAAGTGTCACAAAATATGAAGCTGTTTTTGCACTGATGCTTAACGTACGATTTATTTTTTATGCATCATATGATATTTTGATTTGTGTCCATTAAGTTTGAACAAAAGGAGAAAATAATCGAATAAACAATCTTTCATTTGTAAATGTGAACTGTAAATTTATATAAAAAGATATTTAATACTCTGGAATATCAGATCACATGGTTACATCATATACAAACATTTTTGATGCTTATACTGTGATATGCACCATAATCATGTTATGAAATTACTCATTAAGAGAGTCCAAGACAAATGGATGGCTCCCTCATCTGAGGAGGAGTTTGGTCATACCTCACACCGCACAAACCCGTATACTGTAGACGTATGAAAACAGAAACAGCATGTGGAGCAGGGCGCCTGCTGACAGCGCACTCCAAAGCTATTCATCATCCCTGCGCTTATAGAGCTGTTGTGTTTCTGTACAGCACCACTAGCCTACACAATCACAGAAGCATTAAAAGCAACTCATTATGTCTGCAGAGCGTGTGGCATCACAACAAAAACAATGTAGAGCTCGCTCCGGCTCATCAGCAACATTAGCGCTTTGTCAGCCAAACAAGCTAACTAGCTGGCTGCTCGTGTTGTTTGTCTTTAGGTTAAAAGCTTCTTACAGGTATATTGGGGATTGTTTTTTTTTCCACCGGAGACACTTTCCCTGAGTGTGAACTTAATTACTCTGTCAAAGAAGAGGCTCATTAGCGCCTCGCTAAGACTCCTGTACTCTGGGAAACACACGGCACGCTCATCCAGCCGGCTAACACGCTAACACCTGATAACAACTTGTTTTCCATTTAAACACCTTGCTTTTCCACCTAAATAGCTTTTTCTTTCTTCATTAAGTAGACAGAGATGTATTTCTCTGGACAATCGTCTTTCTGTAGGGGTGATGTGGCGTAGCGGCTAAAGTTATGCCCTCGATCATGACGCCTAACCCCGGGCTAATCCTGAGGGGATTGTTCCTATGACAAGTGTACTGTGAGTCGCTCTGGATGAAAGCGTCCGCTACATACTAAGCACTTTGGCCCAGGCTAATGCACTACTGCTATGTTCACTTACATCACACACTAAAATATGTACTTTGCTGTTAATGAGAAAGTCAATATACTTTTGAGTGCATATAAAATTTTTGCCTATATTATGACATATTTCCACATCATAAATATGCATGAATGAAGGCATGAATACTGTCAGCAAAATAAATAAATAAATAAATAAATAATGACTGAATAAAATTAAATCAAACAACTTCAGCTAAATAAACAACTTATGCTACATTAAAATAATTAAATAAATACAATAACTTCAGCTAAATAAATACACAAGTAAATAAATAAATAACTTATGCAGAATAAAACTAATTGATAAATAAAATGACTTCAGCTTAAAAGTGCATAAATAAATAAATAAATATTTTAACATCATCTAAATAAATGCATAAAAAATAAATAAATACATAACTTCTGCTGAATTAAAAATAAATAAACAATTTAGTCTAAACTTAGATGTATAAATAAACCAAATAAAATAAAATACAAAAATACAAAAATAAAATAACTTCAGCTAAATATATAAATATGATGTTAAATAAAAATATATAAATAAAATAACTTCAGCTAAAAGAATGCATAAATAAATAAATAAATAAATAACATGCCAAATAAATGAATTTATTAAATAAAATGTCTTCAGCTAAATAAAAGCATATTTTTTATATATTATATATAATAATACATATTAAATTCATTTAAATAAATGCATAAAGAATTAATTAACTTCTGCTAAATAAAAATTATTAATGAAAATAACTTTATTCAAATTAATATTTAATAATATTATAAAGATCTACTATTTTAATTCAGCTAAATAAATACATACATTTGTAAATAAATAAAATCTGCTAAATAAAAAAATAACTTCAGCTGAATAAATAAATGAATGAATAAATGAAGAAAGAAAGAAAGAAAGAAAGAAAGCTTAAAAAAATGAATGTTGCAAAAAATTCTGCCAATTTTCCATTGATTTCCTCTTCACAGCTAGATTTTATTCTCATTTTGGAGGTTGCATCTGAGCCAGGCTTGTACCCACACATTAAAAAAACGAATGCTCTGCCATGACAGTTGACTTGAAAGAGAAAACTGGTTGTAGAAGGCAGTTTATGCTAAAGCTTGCATTAGCGCCTCTTGCGCAGCATTTACTGGTGCAGGAACGCAACGACGCATGAAATCATAATGTAAAGTCTTCCCTATAGATCTGAAGCGAGCACATGGGGACAGACTGACCCCGCTGGACGCCGTTGAGACATCCTGACCCCCGGTGTAGGCGGCACTGTAAACTGCGGCAGTCCGACTTAATTTGAACTTCACACGCTTGCTTGCTCTTTGCAGCAGAGGCCGCCGGGGAGCCGGGGAAAACAACAAGATCAAAGTCTGACCGTACTCACCACGGGCGTCTCCTCACATCATACAGGTCAATCTTGTTGGGTGCTCTCCACTTTGTGGCTAGAGAGAGAAAACACAACACACTCAGAGTTTGCTGGCAGAAATGGATGAACTGTGGTTTACAGAAGAGTTTCCTACAGAAGAGCTTTACCTGGGTAGTATCTGGTGACTCCGGTGGCACTGCCGAACACCTGCCAGCGCAGCGAAGGATCCTCACGACTGTTTTCAATGAAGACCCTCTCCAGAGACTGAGTCCAGTTCAGCTCGTTGAGGATCGTGGGAGCTGCAGGAGGTCACGAAACATTATAGTCTGTGGACAAACCTTTTACTATTTCAAACTAGACAAGCTTCAATCATTCACATTTGATTAAAATGTTGCTTCAAAATGCACATTAAAGGCAATTATTATGTTTATTTCAAATAAATCCTGAAAAAAGCATGTTTTCCATAAAATATTAAACAGTTCAAACTATTTATTACAGTATTAAATGTTTTCAACATTGATAATAATAATAATAAATGTTTCTTGAGCAGCAAATCAGCATATTAGAATGATTTCTGAAGGATCATGTGACACTGAAGACTGGATCACAGCAATCAGCTTTGCATCGCAGCAATAAATTACATTTTACAATATACTCAAATTTAAATAGAAAGCAGTTATTTTAAATTGTAATAATATTTTATGACATTACTGTTTTTTCTGTATTTTTGATCAAATAAATGCAGCCTTGCTGAGCATAAAATACTTCTTTGAAAGACATTAAAAAAATCTTACTGATCCAAAATAGTGTATTTTATTTTCCTTTTTATTTTTTATTGTAAAGCTGTAAAATTTATTGTAAAAAATTTGCATCTTTTCTCAAAAGGTCTTTACATTCTGTGCTTTATCATAATTTATGTGCTTTTTACAAATAAAATTCATCATTACCAATGTTAAAAGTGATATAAGACAATCCATAGAGGTGATCTGTTGAAGAACACGCTTAGTAACGGGGAACGTGGCCTTTTAAACTGCAGACAAACAAATCCTCATATCCACAAACAATATCAAACCAAAAAACGAGAGGTAGATATTTCTGATAACAGAGACACACGCATCAGAGCTCCATAAATATGGAAATATTCAGAGAAGCACTTGTGACTGTTGCGAACGGTCAGACACCATCTATCCCTGCGGTGTCCGAGGAGAGCGTTCAGACATCACGCCTGACCTTGGACAAGGTTATCACTGTATGGAGGGAGAAACCACCCACTTCTGTTCCACACACACTCTTAAAGGAGAAACCAGCAAAGGTTTTACAACACTTCTGTACTGTATGTACTGCTGCTCTAAAGATGCAATATAACGTCAAGAAGTTTATCAAAAAGAACAACCAAAGACGCAATGACAAAACCTGACTTGTTAGATGCTACATTTTATAGGTGGTTAGAGAGCATATTATTGGACACAGTTTGTATATACTCCAGTCAAAACAGATCATTTTTGGTCCATTTTGGTCCATTTTAAAATTAACACTTCTGTTCAAAAGTTTGGGGTCAGAAAGATTTTTTACATTTTTTTTTAACAAAGTCACTTCTGCTCACCAAGGCTGCATTTATTTGATCAAAATACAGTAAAAACAGCAATATTGTGAAATAATATTTTTACAATTTTAAATAACTGTTTTCTGTTTGAATATATCATAAACTATAATTTATTGCTGTGATGCAAAGCTGAATTTTCAGCATCATTACTCCAGTCTTCAGTGTCACATGATCCTTCAGAAATCATTCTAATATGCTGATTTGCTGCTCAAGAAACATTTCTTATGATTATCAATGTTGAAAACAGTTGTGATGCATTTTCCCACAGGACTTATTGATAAATAAAAACGTCAAAAGAACAGCATTTATTTGACATTTTTGTAACATTATAAATGTCACTTTTGATCAGTTTAATGCATCCTTGCTGAATAAAAGTATTAATTTCTTAAAAAAAAAAAAAAAACTTCTTTCAAACTTTTGAATGGTAGCATATATTATGTACACTAGCTTTTAGATGACCTTAAATCTAGCAGAACTAATCTAAAAGCCACAAAAACACCTTTTTGATTTCAGAGGTCTTTGTGCTTGGTCATAAATTTAATAAATCCATCATTAGGTTAGATCAGCAAGGCAGAAAATGCCCTTTATAAAAATACAAAACTAAAACGGTGTCTGAAACAAAGCCAGCAGCCTTACTGATTTGCAAACCAATAATTGACGTAAAATAAAACAGTTCTGCATGAAAATACAGAAACTGGCTTAAACAAATGCACCACAACATCCTGTCTGATGATCTCGAACTGATTCAAGTGAGCTTTAGAGAAGGCTAAGCAAATGTTTAAAGGGGTCATATGATGCGATTTCAAGTTTTCCTTTCTCTTTGGAGTGTTACAAGCTGATTGTGCATAGATAAGATCCCTGAAGTTGCAAAGACTAAAGTCTCAAAACCAAAGAGATATTCTTTATCAAAGTTAAGACTCTGCCACGCCCCCCTAAAACGGCTCATTCTAACACGCCCCCACATATCTACCACACTATATGGAAATATTTGCATAATGCCACCCAAATGTTCACGCAAAGAAAGAACGCGTGGTTTCAGTAACCGCAGTTAGTGTTGAAGCAGCCATGTCAAGGAGACGCTGTGTGTTTCTAGGCGAAAGCAAAAGCACTTTATTTAGCCTTCCGAAAGTAGATGCATTTAGGAATCTTTAAGATTACTTACAACAGAAAAGCAATGCATTTTATGGACGACCGTTTCGTGAACCTAGGAGAGGAGGTAATTCTGACTTTACTATGACAATCTGGCGCTTCTGAATCAGCTACTGTTTTGTTATTAGCTTAAGCATTTGCTATTGACTGTTCAAATGCGGAGTTTTGCGCATCGTGTGCGTGTGTGGCGCGCGCGCGCATGTG